TTACTTCCAATTATGTAATTTTAGAGTAGGTGTGATGTGGTGCTGAGAAGAATGTACATTCCGCAGATTTGGGGTGGAGAGTTCTATTGTCTATTAGGTTTGCTTGGTCCAGATCTGAGTTCAAGTCCTGGATTATCCTTGTTAATTTTCTGTCTGGTTGATCTGTTTAATACTGACAGTGGAGTGTTAAAGTCTCCCACTATTATTGTGTGGGAGTCTAAGTCTCTTTGTAGGTCGTTAAGAACTCCCTTTATGTATCTGGATGCATACATATTTATGTACATAAATATGTACATAAATATGTATGCACCCTCTATTGGGTGCATACATATTTAGGATCATTAGATCTTCTTGTTGCATTGATCCTTTTACCGTTATGTAATGTCCTTCTTTGTCTCTTTTGATTTTTGTTGGTTTAAAGTCTATTTTATCAGAGACTAGGATTGCAACTCCTGCTTTTTTTTGCCCTTCATTTGCTTGGTAAATCTTCCTCCATCCCTTTGAGTCTATGTGCCTCCGTGCACGTGAGATGGGTTTCCTGAATACAGCACACCAATGGGTTTTGACTTCTTATCCAATTTACCAGCCTGTGTCTTTTGATTGGGGCATTTAGCTCATTTACATTTAAGGTTAATATTGTTATATGTGAATTTGATCCTGCCATTTTGATGCTAGCTAGTGGTTTAGCCCATTAGTTAATGCAGTTTCTTCATTGTGTTGATGCTTTTTACACATTTGGTAGGTTTTGGAGTGGCTGGTACTTTTCTATGTACTTTCAAGTGGTTGTTCCTTTCTATGTTTAGTGCTTCTTTCAGGAGCTCTTGTAAGGCAGGCCTGGTGGTGACAAAATCTCTCAGTAATTGCTTGTTCATAAAGGATTTTTATTTCTCCTTCAGTTATGAAGCTTAGTTTGGGCAGATATGAAATTCTGAGTTGAAAGTTCTTTTCTTTAAGGATGCTGAATACTGGCCCCCGCTCTCTTCTGGCTTGTAGGGTTTCTGCTGAGAAATCCACTGCGACTCTGATGAGCTTCCCTTTGTGGGTAACCCAACCTTTCTCTCTGGCTGCCCTTAGCATTTTCTCCTTCATTTCAACCCTGGTGAATCTGACAATTACGTGTCTTGGGGTTGCTCTTCTTGAGGAATATCTTTGTGATGATCTTTGTATTTCCTGGACTTGAATATTGGCCTGCCTTGCTAGATTGGGGAATTTTTCCTGGATAATATCCTGAAGAGTGTTTTCCAGCTTGGATTCATTCTCTCTGTCACATTCAGGTACACCTATCAAACGTAGATTAGGTCTTTTCACATAATCCCATATTTCTTGGAGGCTTTGTTCATTTCTTTTTACTCTTTTTTCTCTAATCTTGCCTTCTCATTTTCTTTCATTGAGTTGATCTTCAGTCTCTGATATCTTTCTTCTGCTTGGTTGATTCGGCTACTGAAACTTGTGTATGCTTTGCGAAGTTCTCACATTGTGTTTTTCAGCTCCATCAATTCATTTATATTCTTCTCTAAGCTGCTTATTCTTGTTAACATTTCGTCAAACCTTTTTTCAAGGTTGTGTTTCTTTGCATTGGATTAGAACATGTTCTTTTAGCTCAGAGAACTTTGTTATTATCCACTTTCTGAATCCTGTTTCTGTCAATTCATCATATTTATTCTCCATCCAGCCTTGTTTCCTTGCTGATGAGGAGTTTTGATCCCTTGGAGGAGGAGAAGGGTTCTGGTTTTGGGTGTTTTCATCCTTTTTGTGCGGGTTTCTTCCCATCTTTTTGGATTTATCTACCTTTGGTCTTTGTAGTTGGTGACTTTTGGATGGGGTCTCTGAGTGGACATCCTTTCTGTTGATGATTAAGTTATTTCCTTCTGTTTTTTAGTTTTCCTTCTAACAGACAGACCCCTCTGCTGTAGGACTGCTGGAGGTCCACCCCAGACCCTGCTTGCCTGGGAATCACCTGCGGTGGCCTCTGCATCTCTCTGGGACCTGCACTCCAGAGCTGTTCCTATTCAGTCATCTTGGATCATCTCCCCAATTATTTCAAATTTTAAATCCACAGAGGTTATTTTATTTTACAACATTTAGCATTCACATTCAAAAATAGGTTATTTTCATTAAGTGTCTTGCACTTCCATGTCCTTATTTTTCCATGAAAAAGTTCATGAATAATGCCAACCTTGAATTATAACTCCCCAAGGGGTTATTTCTGCCTGCTTCATAAAGACCACTGGATTGTGTTAGGCCTCCATGTGCAATCCTGGACCCAGAAAACTTAACTCTTTATTATGAAACAACAGCCTTCTTTGTCATTAGTAATGCTCTTTGCTGCTATTAACAAAAATGCACCAGCAGTTTGTCAGAAGAAGAGGAGGTTTCATATTTGCCTGGAATATCTTTTCATACCTTTTACTTTCAAATTATGTGTCCTTCTGTCTTAAGGATATCTAGCTAAGAAGAGCCTCTCTGAACAATTTTTGGGTTTTTGTTTTCCTATCTCTTTTTTTCATCTAGTCTGAGAATCCATTGAGGATCCACTTATGTTGATTGTAATGACTGAAATATTTAAACTTACTTCAACCATTTCTTTTGTGCCTTCTCTTTGTCCCACTTTTCCATGTTTCATCTTTAGTTTTAAGGATGAACTAACAAATGAAGCTCGTCATATTTTAAAGGGAGAGAAAAACTTATACTATCTTATCGATCCTATTTTACTAAGGACAACTGTTATGGTTTGAATGTTTGTCCCCTCCAAAATTCGTGCTGAAATTTAATCCCCAATGTGGCAATATTGTGAGATACAGCCTTTAAGATGTGATTGGATTATGAGGGCTATGACCTCATTAATGGATTAATTCATTCATAGGTTGTATTAGTCTGTTTACACATTGCTATAAAGAATTACCTGAGACTGGGTAATTTAGGAAGAAAAGAGGTTTAATTAACTCACACTTCCACAGACTTAATAGGAAGCATAATGGGAAGGCCTCAGGAAACTTACAAGCATGGTGGAAGGCAAGGGGGAAGCAAGCACATCTTACCATGGCAGAGCAGAAGAGAGAGTGAGTAAAGGGGGGAGTGCTACACTTTCAAACAACCATATCTCGTAAAAACTGCATCATGAGAACAGTAAGGAGGAAGTCTGCCCCCATGATTCAGTCACCTCTCACCAAGCCCTTCCTCCAAGACGTTGGGGACTACAGTTTGACATGAGATTTGGGTGGGGACATGAAGCCAAACCATATCATGAATTAATACATTATCATGGCAGTGGGACTGTTGGCGTTATAAGAAGAGAAAAAGAGACCTGAGCTATCATGCTTACCATGTGATGTTCTGCTCTGCCTCAGGACTGCAGAGACACCCACAAGAAGGCCCTCACCAGATGTGGCCCCTCAACCTTGGACTTCCCAGCCTCTGAAACTGTATAAATTCCTTTTCTTCATAAACTACTAAGTAAATTCATTTTCTTTATAAAATTACTCCATTTTATATATTCTGTTATAAGCAACGAAAATGCACTAGGACCATGATAAATTAAGATTCAGTAGTAAAAAGCTTTGCTCAGTTTGGAAAGCTGATCAGTGATAAAACCAAGGACCAAACATGAGTAACACAATGTCTAGCACTCTTGCACTACACAATTGACTTAGGACAATCCTCACAGTATTTCATCTTCCCCTCACAGAGGTAAAGAAAAAAGAGGTATTAAGCTATTTACATATAGGAAAACTGAGATTTATGGTAATAAGTCATTTACACATGGGTGGGAAACTTTGTTAGAAATCAAAATGTTAAATTTCCAGAAATTTTGAATGCTTGGGAAAAAATAACAGAAATTTATGGAAGAAAAGAACCATTAGTGAGGGCTCAGGTAGATATATTCATTACTAGCTTACGAACATTTTTAAAATGTATTATTTATTATTAGATCTGCTCACAAAGTTATATGAAATTTTAAAATACATTTAGATCTGACATGAGCTAGTATTTTAGGTTTTGCCAGTTCAGCAGCCACTTGAGTGGCTACCAAAAAAAAAATCAGTATCATATTTAAGAGGAAGATATGCTGTTGGGATTTCCTATCTTCCAGGATGAGAAGCAAGCCCAGAAAGCACCAATTTTCAGGGAAGAGTCAGAAAATGGCCCAGGTTAGGTGTACGTCTCTAACCACAGGGCATCCTGTTTCTGCATCTCACTTTCTGGTCTCTCTCTCCACCTTCTGTTTCTCTTCCACTTCAGTTTTATCACCTCTGGGAGCCTCTGAGAACCAAAACATTTTTCCTAGGTTGACTTCCAAGTCAGGTTTTGGTTTTGTCTTATTTTTACTCAGTAAATCTCCAAGTACAGAATTTTTTCCTCCATTATGAATCTACAGCAGGCAAAAAGCATTTATCAGAGGCTTCTAAGCAACACCCTGGCCCCCAGGTGACAAAAAGATCCTCCTGGGAGTATATCCGATCCCTTGGTAGCTAGACCTGTGAAGAGGGTCTCAATCCTACCTCATATAAAAGTACTTTCCAAATAACCACTTTGAAGAATCTCTCATTCTCCAAGCCTGGCCAAGGCAAGAGCAAAATGCTACTGGACTTCCCATCTAAAACAGCTACAGCAGCATAAACTACTTGACAGTAAAATTATTCCCACTTCTTAAGTAAATTGGCACTTTCTTCTGATTCTGAAAGTGAAGTCATCTGGATTCTCAACAACAGGCAACTTTTTGATCATTTGATTAGGAATGATCTTAAAGACTACCATGCCCTGTAGTTAGTTTTACTCTAAAATTTATATTCAATGTCTGAAAAATAAGTTCGAGAAAGTAAATGCAGTATATGAACGTAAGAACTTGTATCTTAAATGTTATATTGATCATTAACAACTTATCATGTTTTCCAGGCTCCCAGTGCTAATATCCATGTCTTCTGATCTCCAGCTCAGTACTCCTTCTTCCCAAGAGGCAAAGGAAAAAGACACTTAAAAAGTAACAACACACATAAGCGTACCTTTCTTGCCAGCAGCGTGGCTATTTGAGACACAACCATGTGGCCAAGGAGAAGCCACACCAGCCACTGCTTCCCCCATTCCATCCAGAAGCTCCACTCAAAGTCAGTCGCATCCTAAATAGGTCAAAATAGGAGTTTATCAGAAAGATTTCAGTGTATGTCTGAGTCAGAACACGAACTCCAGTTACTAACACAGCCAGAGAGAAGGCCAGTGTGAACCCAAGCTCTGTAAAATAGGATTTACACACTTCTTGCCTTTCCCCACCCACCTGTACACTCCCCTCCAGCTTCCTATTAGTAGTGGCAAAAATTGCAATTACTTTTGCACCAACACAACAATCAATGACATTCCCCAAATGCACTTTGGACTTTCTACAACTCGGTGTCTTTGTCACAGCTGATCTCCCAGGACCCTCTACAGCATAGATACTACTATTATTTCCATTTTGCAAAAAAAGAAACAGAGAATTAAGGAACTCAATTCATTTATACAAGGTCCCATGGATAGTACAAGTAATGAATTGAGGCTATCCCAGTTTAGACAACTACATGTTTTCATTAAGAAGAGAAATGTAAATTGGACAATAATCAAATGGCTTAAAGTCAGTCATGTTAAGTCTTGTTGCCATTTACAGATAGAATAATTTATCAGAGAAATTAATTTCATATGAATTTATAATAAAGGAATGAAAAGTCCACTTCCCTTTCCCCCAAGAAGCTGTGTGTCCATGTAGCATTCTGTGTCTGCATTGGTACCAGGTTCCACGTCTATGAAGCCCCCGGCAGAAGTAGGTAGAAACTTCTGACAAGAGTGGACATGTCGTTGCTTAGGAATCAGCACCTGGAAGTCATGGCCTCAGGAGCCCCAGAGAAGACCACAGAGGCCAAGAGGAGCATGGACAGATGCACATGTCATCGGTCACCCTGAAATGGGCAATGCAGGCTTGGCCAATGAACATCTCAGCACCACCAGGATGGAGGGGGATTTGAGGTCTCAGAATTTTCTAACCAAAATGTGTGGCTGGAAAAGGAATCCTGCAATGCCACTGATATTGAACTTCTCACCAATCTCGGCAAGTGGAACTTGGAGCCTATCTTAACTGGATTTGAAGAAAAGTGTGATTTTTTTTTTTTTAAGTGTACCTAAGATTCTGGGGTAATGTCATACCATTAGAAACAGTAAGATACACATAAAATTGATCTTGATTCATAACAGACTGTGAGTGCAAGGCAGCTAAGACTGGAGGCGTGGCTTGGATCCGGAGCCCAGGTCTACTCACACACGGGCTGTGATGACCTTGAACATGATGCTTAAACTTTCTGTTTCTTCATACAACAATAGTACTTACCTTATAGGGATTTTCAAGGCTTAAATAGAGCATATGTATATTAAAAGCTAATAACAGTACACAGTACTCATTCAACAGTAGTACCCGCTAGCCCCATGTGCTTCCCATCCCTTGTAAACCACCAGCCAAGATTGTATTATGCTTTACTTGGTGCCACTCACTTAAAAATGTATATATCATTTTCCCGCTTCTCCAATAAGGAAATACAATACTGTGCATTCTCAATTTACACATGCTCCCACACCCCAGACCCTGATACATGGCATGCTCATAGAGCCCCTGTCCCCTGCTGGAAATCACGTATCTAGTTGAATTGCTTCCATTTAGAGATGACAACACCAGAGCCTGGGATGTGCCCAACACACAGCCAGGCAGCAGAGCAGGGAACGCAGACCTTTAACCTGCCTCCTGATCCCTGATCCAGGCTTGTTTCCCCATCTCAAAATTTCCAAATTAGCTGACAGTCAATTAACTGAATAAAGGTAAACAAGTTCAAAGGCCATGCTAGTAAAATATCACTTTTATAATAGGAATACAGCTAAAAAGACACTGAAAGCCAAGACATTTTTTTAAATACAAACTCAAAAAAATTTTGAGCTTTTTAAATATAACATTTTGAACACTTAGAACTACATTTAGAATTCATGACCCCAAGCTTATCTATACCTCGAAACTTCTCCAAGTTTCATTTTTTAGAAGGAAAAAAGACAACATAACATATAAGACTTTCTGTTCCACCAGAAAATCCAGGACTCATGAAAACTCTGTGCTGGTAAAATCCCATCAACAAAAATTATGTATGCCCTTTCACCACTAATTCTTGCAGAAAACATTCATTTAAAGGAAATAAAAATGTCTCTCTCATGTCTATCCTTCACCATTTAAAACAGTTACCTAAGGGAAATGATCAGACAGAAAAGTTGGGCCAATGAATAGATCAAGATGATGTTTAATGATTTGAATAAGAAAAATATTGACTCTGCTTCTCGAAGCAAAAGCTTTATAGACTCTGAGCTCAGTCACACATTTGAAGGCAAATATTAAAGCCTGAAATCAGGAACATCATGTTCTGTTCCTTCCCCTATTTTCCTTCTTGACTCCATGGTTATTAGTCAGTTAGGAACCTCTTCTTTGGTACTCTAAAGGGGTCAGATACAAACTGGGGATAAATCCCAGCCAGGCAGAACTAGGAAGGCTTCTTCATGGAAGCCGGGATGCTGTACTACAAGGAGAAGTCGCCAGTATCCAACTTCCTGCACCAGTGATTCTTAAACATCAAGGTGGACACTAGCCTCCTATGTATCTTGCTAAAATGCAGATTCTGATGCAGTCAATCTAGGGTGTGGCGCGGGATTCTGCATTTCTAACAAGCTTCCAAGTGATGCAATGCTACCATCCTGGGGACCACATTTTGAGTATCAAGGATCTGCATGACTGATTATGCCTTCCTACAGCTGAATGTTCACAAACTCACAGAATCCTTAACAGCTCAACCCATTTCATACCATTCCCAGGCAGGAAAGGCGCACGTTCGAAGCTGCTTCCTAACACTCACCAACAGAGCAATCATCCTCCTGTTCACCATTCAAAGCTCTGAGCACCCAGACTTCAGAATTCACTGAACAAGTTAACGAACACCGTTGTTTATTCCCAGGCTGGCATTCTGCTACCAGGCAATACTGAGGACTCCGAGAAACACAATTGTTCTGGGTTTCTTAAATAGTAACTAACTAGCTGGCAAAACACTGTTTTTCCTTTCTTAACAAAACAGAGTCCGGGTCTAGTGTTTGTAACTGCCTCTTTTCCTACCCACAGTGGAGTTCTACTCCAGGCACGGTGAGGAGCTCAAAGTCTCAATGGGAAAACCCCCAGCACCAAGGCCACCACACTCCACAGTGAAGACACATTAAAAACCCGCTGCAAAGTGAGAGGAGTAACAGTGCTGCAACTCAACTTCATATGTCAGTGAAACTGACTGACCTGTCCTTTCTTCCCACACAGTCACAGAAGAACATTCGAGTATGTGTTTTCTAATTATAACCTCATAAGAATCTTTAAAGTAGTTCATTTGTTTAATAGACCTTATCTTTTAGAACAGTTTTCAGTTGAGAATTAAGCACCATGTACACAGAGTTCCCATAGACCCCTCAACCCCTCTCCATCAGCATCCCCAACCACAGTAGTGTATTGGTTCCAATTGGTGAACCTATTCATCATTGCCACCCAAAGTCCACAGTTTACATTAGGGTTCACTCCTGATGTTGTATATTCTATGGGTTTGGACAAATGTATAATGACACATATGGAATATTTTTCATTGCCCTAAGAATCCTCTGCATTCTACCACTTCATCCCTCCCACCCTGCCCCTGCCCCCGTCCCCCTGGATCTCTGACAAACAATGATCTTTTTACTGTCTCCATATTTTACTTTTTCCAGAATGTCATGCAGTTGAAATAAAGAAGGTCTGGGTTGTTTTATTTTTTTGTCAATGACTTGAAGCTTGTTTTGTTGTTGTTGTTGTTGTTGTTGTTGTTGTTTTTGAGACAGAGTCTTGCTCTTGCCCAGGCTGGAGTGCAGCAACCTTGGCTCACTGCAACCTCCGCCTCCAAAGCTCAAGTGATTCTCATGCTGCACCCTTTCAAGTATCTGAGAGTACAGGTATATACCATCACACCCAGCTAGTATTTTTAATTTTAGTAGAGACAGGGTTTTGCCATGTTGGCCAGGCTGGTCTTGAACTCATGACCTCAAGTGATCCACCCCCTCGGCCTCCCAAAGTGCTGGGATTACAGGTGTGAGCCACCACACCCGGCCTGAAGCTCTCTTTTTTTTTTTTTTTTTCCTTTTTTCTTCTTTCCTGAGTAGTTTTGTTTTTTAACTCCATGTTACAAATGGGTTAACTGAAGATCATAGAAAACAGATTATTTGTCCAAATCTAGTAAGGAGCAGAGCTGGGTTTCAAATCTAGGCCTGTCTGATGCCAAAGAGGAAACCCTTTTCTGAGATGTTTCTACTAGTGCTGGTCCCTACACCTGGACTCCTCACCCTTCCCACCCCTTTGCCCCACAACACTATCTGACTAGATAATCCCCAACCTAGAGGGCACCTCATTGATGCCCCATTACCACTCAGTAACATGCACAAAATACTCAGTAAATGGTACAATTCAAATGTCAGCTCAGAAGTGAAGCTTTCCCATCCCTACTTCCCAGGTGGACCTCATTGCACCCCTCTCTCTGCTATCCACATCTCAATTCTAGAACTTTTATTATGGCAGATTTATTATCTCACTTTTATTCATGTATTTTCTCTCTGGAGGAGAAAAATGGTGAGTGCTCTTAGACCAAGAACCTTGACTTAAATCAAATCTGTCTCCTAGACACCCAACATTCAGTAAGCCTTTCAAATGGCAGGGGGCAGGAAGGCAGCAAAAACATTAGGCCACCTAGTTCTTTTCACATTTCTGCCCCTGTTTAAAATTGGAAAAGTCACTTCACTATCTGGAATTGAATTTTCTTATGTGTAAAATGAAGGGCTCAACTAGCACAATGTCTAACATTCCTTTCAGAAAATGGGAAAAACAGTTATTTTCCAGGCTAAAGGAAAGAAATACTAAGAAAGTGCTTGTCACCCGGTCCCCCCTTCTCACACCCCTATGTCACTAGGGAAGAAAGTTACAAGAAAAAATTCCTGGCAAATGAGGACTTGCCCTAGCAGCTCACCACTGAGTAAATCTTTCCTCCTTTTAGCCTGGAATTCTCAT